GCAAATTAAATATTTAGTTAACAAGCTAAATATTTAATTTGCAACCTAAATATTTAGGTAGCTAGCTAAATAGTTGTTTCAAACTAAAAAATTTTGCTCAAAACTAAATATTTAAGTCACAAGTTAAATATTTAGCTTGTTAACTAAATATTTAATTTGTAAGTTAAATATTTAGTTTATAAACTATGGCATTTATAAATGTATGAATCATATGGTGAAAAACTGACTTTGAAAAATAAATCTATTCTTTTTTTCTTATAAAAGACTAAATAAAACAAAAATATTGGTGGTAATTTTTGACTGTGTAACGTTACAAAGGGCACCTCATAAGGATCCAGCTGGACTCCTCAGAGTCAGAGCTGAGTTTGTGTGTCAGTTATTCGTTACTTTAATGGTTCGCTGACAGGACAGTGGACATTTATCCTGGTTAATGATTAGCTCTAAACATGTTTAACTGTCACTTTCAGTTTTCTGGGAAGCTGTGTAATAGTTAATCAGAGGATTGAAGATTCTGGTAAACACTCATCACAGCAGCCGTGTGTGCTACAAACACACAAAAACACAGCTTAACGACCTAAAAACACTTAAACTGGCTCTGCAGCACAAAAACAACCTTAAAGAGTTAAAGTTCTCCGTCTGAGCAGAACAGGAAATGAAAAAATGCAGTGATTTCACTGAAGAGATTTAAATGTGCATCTTTTAGAGGGAGACTGATGCTCTGAAAGTTTTCTGCTCAGATGAACCATGTAAAACACGTGGATCCAAACACAGAACACTGCCAGGGATCTAAAAGCTCCTTAAATGCAGCTGATGATGTAAGAACTGTTATTATATAAGAACTGGTCCTGTGGGTTCAGTCTGTAACGACAACCAGCCGGTGTCACCAAACTATCTGTCAAATAAACTGCTTTATTAGATTAAATACTCTTTACATTGTGGCTTAAACACTCATTACAACAAGAACAGAGTCCTCACAGTGAAACAGTTAAATTAAATATTTGAAATGTTTTCATTTCAACCAATCAAGTGTAAAAATGTCATTAATAACTTTATAGCAGTAAAACACCAGCTGTGAACTGGAGTTTTGTGGTTCTGGATTGGGCTTTAAACTAATCTAGAAATGCATATGGAGTAACACACATACATACATGCACGCACGCACACACGCACACACACACACAGTACACAAACAAAACATCACTTCTGGAAGGCTTTTCTTGCATTCTTTTTTTTCTTGCTTTACATCAATGTTTTCATCTTTTGGCCACTCGGCTGCATATGATGCAAGTTTGTTGAGTTGTACAAGAAAATACAGTACGTTGTTTTCAACAGTGTGCTTTTTGTTTAAGTAACAAGTCCTTGTGAGGAAATAAAAGTCTTTCTTTTCTCGAGGGCTTTTATTTTTCACTGGTTTCAGTCCGATTTAAGAGACAATAAAGTGCCCAGAATCCTAAAAAAACAAAGTGTGTACAGTGAAATGTGCACCAGCTGGTTCAAACTGTAAAAATAAAAAAGTGAAAGGCTTCAGTGCATACCTGAACGCACAGAAAAGAAGGACACATCAGTGTTTTCTGAAGCAGAGCAGCTGGATTTCTTATGTAACATAAAAAGTGAGAAACAGACGGTGAGAAGAAACAAGACGTGATTGTTCCTGTAAAATGTTTCCAATTATTTCTCACACGGAGGATATTCTGTCCCTTTTTTATTTGCTTTCAGGAACTGAAGAATGATGAGAAACAGGAAGTAAAGGAAGCACAAAGAAATGTTCTGTTGTTATTAAAACTAAAGCAGGAGATGAGAAAACGTTTGTACGGTTATTTTTTTCCTCTTTTTCTTCCTGCCTCAGGACCACACATGGAAATTAGCAATTATGCTACAATCTGGCTCATTTACAGTCCATACAGAAGTATAACAATGTTCATTTAATGCGCATTAATGTCCTGATTAATTAAAGTTATAATAATAATAATAATCTGTTTGAGGGCTTTTACACTCCACAATAAAACTTATTCTAGTGAAATTAATTTCCTTTAACATATTTTA